CGGCCGGGTCGGGCCTTGTTTTGGGTGACCCGAGCCCAGACCGGAAAACCCACGGATCGGGCCTACCCGGACCGGTCACTGACCGGGCCACCGGGTCGGGCCGGGTCGGAACAATACCGGTCCCGGGCCGGTTCGAGGTCGGGCCTCCCGGCCCGAGTCCATCCCTAGGTAGTACCACCCACGTATAGCCTCATTCTAAATTTCTAGCAAGATATATTTTGCACAATTTAATGCATCAAGATTTTCAATTAAGGCCTTAAAATGAGGGGGATTTTTGGTTCCAAAAAGGTAGCAACACTACTACTTTATACTCTCTCCGTCATGAAAAGGTTGGCCAAATTTCGTTTTTTGGTTGTCCCAAAGAGATTTGTGATTTCCATTTAAAGTAAGGAATATGTAGCTAAAATTAATTCTCTCTCCTCTGCACAAATTTCAACCACACAGTTTTTACTTTATTAATCCACGTGAAAGTCAACTTTTGCTAACCTTTTCGGGACGGAGAGAGTATTATATAAAGATTCAATATCAATCAATAAACTCGGTTTTCTTAATAACCGTGAAACCTCCTCATATTTCATGTTCCAAAAGATTGAATCCTCAACCCCAAAAGCCTTCCATACCCCGACCCGACAAAACATTTGGGAGGTTGTAAGTCAGAGTGACTCATTGATCAGGCCAATGATGCATAGCAGACCTTGTACATGTGCGCATCAGAGTTGTAGCTCAATACATATGAATTGTAACCTCCACACGATCGCTACACTTTTGGATCATTTGTCTATGTTCAAATTTTCTCATCACCAATTAACTGAACTACACGTACGGCCATACGAGTAGTCGAGTACTCCACATATATCAATATTAGTGGAACGAAATTAGTATCAAATTATAATACGCAATATATCCAACAATACCTAGCTACCTGCTCTTGCGGTGTTGCCTCGAAATGTAGAATCTAGAAAACTGCACATAGAAGACTGCATGGCGCAGTTGGAAACACACACACATACGGAGTACTGTACTGTATTATAGAGGAAAGCCTGAAGCTGCCTTTCGTTGTGATTCAATGGTCCAACCCTTTTTTGTCACGTCTTCTCCCATCCAACATTTTCTCTGACACTTCACAAGTCCCACCCAACCAATCAGCCTGCACCCCACAACAGGCCTGTCAACTGCCATATCACAGGCCCAAAAAATTGAACAACAATGCTTGGGTTATACCGTACACAACTTGTACACAAAATGTCGATCACATACAATTGGTACGGAATTATCTGTGGATACAGACAAGAGTTGTAAAAAGTAGAATGACAACCGTCTGACATTGACATCAACTTGCAAATCAATCAGTATATGTACAGTGTCTGTGTGCACAGACAATATTTTCATGTTGCACAGACAATTATTTTTCGGTGTGCACAAACAATATTTACCACACAGACAATAGTTGTGCGTCTCACAGACAATAGTGTCTGTGTGATCAACTTTAGTTGTCGGTGTGATCAATTTCAATTGTCTAGGTGAACAAAAAAATTTAATTGTCTATATATATCCAAATGAATGATGTAGTTGTATGTGTACTAAATTTACATGTAATTTGAAAAAAATCAAAAAATAATAAAAATAGATGGAATAAGATGAATAAGCCGATTTTGTGCAAATAATATAAAAAAATTGATATAAGAACGTAGAGAAAAAGAGAATGAAGAAGGGATGAGAAAGATGAAGAAGGAAAGATGATCTCTCATTTTTTTGAGATATTCAAATGGAAGAAAGAGAGAAGGGAGAGGGACAAGAGAGAATAGAGAGAGAAGGGGAAAAGGATGAGAATTTTTTGTACCTTTTATATGGTGTACACTTTGTGTACACCATATGTACACTTAGCATTTTTCAAAATTGAATTGTTTAATGAACAACGTTTTTTCGGGTACATTTTCTACACACTTGTCTATCTGTACGGTAAGAGTTTTTCGTGTTTAGACAACTCTGTAGAATCCTACAAAATTGTAGACAAGAACATGTAGGAGCACACGTTCTTGTGTACTCGTGGTATACACCATACATTTTTCTTTTTTATCCAATACACCTGCGCTCTTGGGATGTTTTTTGTTGTTGTATCCAATACACCTGCTTCGTATATTGCATGAAAATTTTTATCTGTGCACGACATTTATATATACAATCATCTATTCTTTAATAGTTGCAATAGTTTCACTTTCACGTTTGCCATCACAAAATTTTGACCATAATTATACTCCTTATTTAATTACATATTGGTAAGCATTATAAAAAGTTAATATTTTAGAAATTTACATTAATAAAAATTTAATGACATTTAATACATAATATTTTGATTATATAAATAAGATGAACATCGTGATTGAAGTAAGGTGTGTGAATGGTCCAAAAATGACAATGTTGCATTTTTTATGTAACAGGGAAAATATTTCGCACACTTATATGTGCACACAAACTATGTGTGGATCACCTATCGCCATTATATACATACATCTCTTGTAACAATTGTTTGCTAACATATATAATTACGTACCAATGTGTACAAATGTGTATAAATTTTATGTACATATCCTAGAATTGTTTTTTTATAATTGCATAATTCTTTTTTTCCCTTTAAAACGAGAGATTTACTCCGTCATACTTTCTAGCTATTTGATGCGGAGTACTACTGTACTAGTACTTATTTTTGCATAAATATTCGAATGCAAATTCATTTAAATTATTAATTCAAAATTTCTCTTAGGTTACTAGAATTAGGAACATCCATAACACTTCAAAGCAGAAATCATCGGGTGTGACGTCTTCTCTTCTTTCAAAAGACTGTTACATTTTTTTTTAATTATCAGCATTAATCGTCATCAATCTTGCACGGTTGTTGCCTATCATATTCGTATTCTTATTTTAGTAATTGCCCTATATAGGACTAAAACTAAACTTAATTTTCTAAATAGGACTACAAGTTTTTAATTCCCTAAAAAGGACTTCGGATGACCATTATACCCTCCTATATAATAGCATCAAAACCCTAATTCTAATTCTAGCGTATGCGGCTCTTCTCGTACGTGCGCAGAAGCGGTTCTTCTATTGCGCAACACCTCTACGTCGAGCCTAAGGGTGGTTCGGTACGATATACCTTTACCGTATCATAACTTTCGGTATACAAAATTTATATACGGCCATCACCGCTTTGGTCAAGGTTTCCTTTTACCGGGTTAATGCTTATTTTGTTAATAGGCGTGAAACCAGTAAAATGAGAGTGACAGAAGGCCACGAGTACTCCCCATACATCACAGATTTAATTGATAAGAATAGAGAGAAGGCGAAGCATCACACAGTTACTCCATTTGATTTAGGCCGAGGGATATTTCAAGTGGAAACTTGTTGTGGTGGCCGAATGTTGGGGAAGGGTGGGAGAAAACAAACTGTCCATCTAAAACGGAAAACATGCACTTCTAAAAAGATGGAGATATATAAGATTCCATGCTCCCATGTGTTAGCCGTGTGCAGACAACGTAGCTTGTCTTATGCTCCATTTGTGGATAAGTTTTTCTCATCTGACCAATACGCGGTCACATATCATAGAGTCTTCAAACCCATTCCTGATCGTGATTATTGGCCTACTTACAATGGACCTGAAATCGTGCCCGATTAATCCATGCTTTGGGCTAAGGGAAGACCTAAGTCAACACGTATTAAGAATGAGATGGATGAAGGTTCCCGAGGAATGGTTAGATGTGGAAAATGCCACCAAACCGGCCTTAATAGGGCCACATGTGCGAAGAGATCGTCAAGACACGATGGGGAGTCCAGTGGGTAAGGTTTTAATTATAGTAATTCACAATTCATCTTAGCGTTGCATGACAACATATTAATTAATAAAATGGATGATTAAAAAAAAAGAATTAGTATCATAGTAAAAATTAACTTATACGATTTTGTTTGTTTGTAGGCATGGAGGTGACAGCGACAACTTCATCATCCCAGACACAGCATGAGAGAGTGGTTTTCAACCACGACCACGGCGTAGGCGTAGACATCAGCAGCAACATCTCCATGACCAAGACGATCAAGAAGACCATGAGAACTTGTAGTTTGCCTTTTGTATTGCAGTTTTTCTTGTACAGTAGATGTTGTAGGAATAATTTACAATATTTTACGTATTTTCTCTTCTAAACTCTTGTATGTTGTGTTGATGTGTTCGGGTATGAATATTAGATGATTACTTGTTATGAATATTGGATGATTGTATTGTGTTTTACCGGTTATGAATCTAATGTTGTGTATTCGATTTGTAAAGGGTCTTTACAAGGTGTTTTGTATATTGTTGAGAGTAGGTGTTATGTATGTGTTTGTGAACAGGTGTGTTGTATGTTTTATGATGTGTTGTATCTGGCTCGTAACACTTAAACAGGAGAAGGGAGACCTTATTTAATATAGAAAACAAATGAGTTTGGGTTGAACTGGGGCAAAAAAAATGATGCAATTCTGTTTTCAGAATTAGGCCAGATCGTGCGTGGCTGGCAGTAGCTGCTGGTCTGCGTTCATATGGAAGGGAAAATCGTCCAACGGTTGGGCGACTTATAAGTCGCCAAACCGTTTGGCGACTTATAAATCGCCCAACCGTTGGGAGACTTTCTCTGACCATGGTTAAACCAAGCAGTAGATCGGTAAATACTTTTTTCCCAACATTATTTTCGTTATTAATTAATTAATTAACATTAATTCGAAAAAAAACTCGAAAATTTAGTTATGATGGTTGAATCGATTCGGTTGAATTATGAAAAAAAATTATATTTAATATATACTATAAAATCTTGTTAATAAGTTAAACAGAAAGTTATAAGAAAAATAACTAAAATAGTACTCTATAGTAATGTCACCAAATTAAGCCAAAAAAGTACGTAACTTCAAACTTGTTTATTTTAATTATATTATAACAAATTTCAAATAAAAATCCAATTAAGTCAAAAAAGTACTCCATATGTAACTTGAAACTTGTTTATTTTAATTACTCGTATAACACAATTTGACAAAAAGCCATCAAGTTCTCAAACTCAATTATCGTTCTAAATAGTAAATATACCGATTGTATATAATTCTCATGGTCTCATCAAAACCATAAACCTGGCTTCCTCATCTAAATTGCATATACAATCCAGCTCCATCTCAATTTTCTTTCACCTCGTTCAAATCCAAAAAGCCAATGAATCAAAATTTCAAGAAATCTAAACTTAAATAGACCTAAGATGATAAAAGACGAGACATACTCCTTATTCCTTAATTCCCAGGACCAGTCGAATATTCAAAAACAGGCTTTTATTTTTTCCCATTGAACAAAGATACCTTGATATAACAGACATCATATATAGAGGGTTAAAATCAGAGTTTTATGAATACGGAAAAAAGATTAGAGGTGAGATCGATTAACAAAAACTCAATTCGGCTAAATCATTTTGTCCGAAAAGGTGCTTACTTTCCTGAATCCCACCTACACCAAGAAAATCCCTAGTCAAACTCAAATCCACCATTTGATCATGTTGGTTTCCCTTGTTTTGAATCATCATCCACAACCCATTGCTGCTATTGTTGTTGTTACCTTGATCATTACCCGCCATTGTCGAGTTCCCAAGAATGTTACGATAATCTTGATGAAGAACTTTTCCGGCGGTACTTCCGGCAATGTTGTTGAAGCAGCTGTTAATGCTAGAACCAGCAGACAAGGTGGTTGGACACGTCAGCCCAAATTCATTCATCCCAAACAATGCTGCTGACTCCTTGCTCCTCCTTGACCCCATTTGCGCCGCCTTCTGGAGCAGCGCCGTCGCCGACGTATGAGTTCCCGTCACCGCCGGCGGCACCGCTCCTCGGCATTGGTTGTAAAACAAAGACGGAGTCGACATCCCGCCCTGCATGGGATCTTCTTCTTTTGGATCTGGCGGCAATACCCCGGCGTTGGATGGCGACGTCGGATTGCCGCCGCTCCAAACAAACATCTCTTGGGGAAATGTCATATGATGTTGATCGTCATGAGAATAGGCGGCGGCAGAGTCCGGCCATAGGGGATATCTAGCCTTTTGACCATCTAGAGTGAGTTGACTCACGGAGTCAAAGCCACTGCCGCCGCTGCCTATTAAGTCGTGACAAGGCGGCGGCAGCCTAGAGAATTGAGACCCAAATTGATAATGTTTGAGAGGAGATGAAAATAAGCCGCCGCCGCCGGAGCTGTTAAATAGATCCTGTCGGCACGTTTGATTTGGGGATCTTAGTGAAGTGAATCTTGAACTTTCTTCTGCTAAAGCATCACAAAAAGCTCTGTGTGTGATAAAACTATCCTTTCTGCAATATATATTCCCATACAGAATGTTAACCAATAATTTCAATCATCATTTGCATTAATGTCACATACCACTCATAATTAAATACAGCAACCAACCAAGATCCATGTCATTAATGAATTCAAGAATCATGGGAACACTACAAAAATGCTCCGGATTGACAGAAGTTTTAGCATGGATATATAAATTCATGCCAAAAAACACGAAAAAATCGATAAATTTGTGTCAAATTTGTGATACTCCTGTAATTTTTTGCAGTGTAATTAATTAATTTGAGTAAATATATGTATACATACCTAGAGAAGAGAGTTCCACAGTCACATTTATACTCTCTAGTACCACAAATCTTATTATGGGCTTTCCAATCAGAATGAACAGCATATTTCTTGGAGCACTTATCACACTTCCACTTCTTCTCCCCATGCTTTCTACTGAAGTGTTTCTTGATCCCAGTCAAGTCTCCAAGAGCTCTGGAAGGGTGGTGGTGCACACAGCTCTTCTCTGGGCATATGTAAACCTTCTTCCGCACCACCTCCTTGCTGCTTCTCTGCTTCAGCTTCCATGGCAGGTTGTGCCCTCTCCTGTGAAGCTGCAGGTTCTGGTCTCTCTGGAAGCCCTTGTTGCAGATTTCGCAGACGAAGCGGTTCGTCGCCATTAGAGACTTTGGGGACATAGCTATCACTTCTGCGTCCGGATCTGGGTTTCCAGGGAGGCTTCTCTTTCTCTTGGCTGGATTTGAGGTAGGGTTAGGGTTAGGGTTTTGGTTGTAACTGGCTCTGATGGATGAAGAAGAAGAGGAAGTGAGAGAAGAGAGTGCATTAGTATCAGCTCCCATCATTTTTCACAAACACTTTAGGTTCTGTAGCTTACAGATTTATTTGCTGAAAACAGCAAACTCCAAAACGCAGTCAGTTCAATCTAAACTAGAATCATGGAAATCGCCATATTAAGAAAGATTATTTGGTTTCTTTCAGAGATTCCTCTCTCTCAAGACCTTTGAATCTTAGCAGCAGCTAAAGAACAGAGTTATATACTCCTCTACTACCTAGTTCCCCTTGGCTATCATAGGAAGGCAGGCAGCTGACAGTATAAATTTCAAAAAAAAAAAAATAAGAAAACAAAAGAAAAAAAATTCGCATGTATCATCAAGGAAAATTGTTCTGAATAAAAAAAATGTTTTCAAAATAAGATTGTTATATTCCCAAAATATAACAAAACTTTAAACATGTTTTGTTTAAAGTTTTAATTCCCAAAATAAGAATAATTATTGTCATGTTTTGATAAAACTAAATTTTAAACATTATAGTATTTTTTTGAATTTGACAGTAAGTACTCCTATTTCGAGAATAAAAATATAACAATCTTATTTTGAAATTTTAAAACGTTTTTATTCTATACTACCTCCGTCCCAAAAAGAGATGCAAATTTGACTTTTCTTAGTCAATCAGTCTCGTTTTGTTCACTTAATTTGGATGTCAATTTTTAATTATGTTCTAATTTGAAGTTTACAACTTTGAAGATATTTTAATGTAGTTTATGAATATGTAAATTTTAATTATTAAAAATTGAATTAATTATCCATACCGAGGGTTGACTTTTATTATTGATTGACCAAAAAATGTTGACTTTGCAAAACAAATTGGGACGGAGGGAGTATAATCTTTTGTTCTAATACCTTGCACGTGAACTTAATAAATAAATCTCGATCATAAACTTCAGGAGACATATGTTTAGTTTAAATTCGTCCAATAACACGCCCACGTCACCCGCAACCACACACGGTCGCATATCTAGTAATTTGGACGAAGGGTCTAAGTTCACACTATAACACTATCAGAAAACTTTTAAAAAATAATATTAATTAGACGATTTTTTTTTTCCATCATTTGCAATGGAGCCAAAGATTCATTATTTTTTGCCTTGAGATTATGATGGAATAAAGCAAAATGGCTCACTAAACTGTCTGCGCTTCTTTGTAATGAAGCAACAGTCAGTCCATGCAATTTTGGACGCGATTTTCACTATGGGTCATCCGGAAACAGTCTCTCTATGCTTTAGTATAGGGGTAAGACTGCGTACATCCGACCCCTCCTTACCCCACCGTAGGTGGGAGCCTTTGCGGCACTGGGGTAAATGAAAATGAAAATGAGACGATTTATAGTTTATTAAAAGAAAAATAAAATCTTAATATTAAGTTGTAAACCAACAAGTACGTATTAATATATATTAAGTGTGAGATGGTGTAATTAAATTATTTATCATTTATTACTAAAAAATGTGATTTTAAGCTACTTCAAATCCTTGAAATTAGGTAAATTTCAATAAAGCTTTAAAAGAACAAAAAATCTACTCCCTCCATCTCTTAGAACTTTGTCAGTTTTCTTTTCTTGGTTGTCCCACAAACTTTGCTACCTTTCTTTTTTTTTAAAGAATTTGTGGTTCCAGTTAATTTTCTCTTCTCTGCACAAATGGAATGGCAATCACATAGTTTGTACTTTATTAATATAATCCTTGTGCAAGTTTTAAAGGACGGAGGGAGTATAAAAGTAGGGCATGGGCTTCCAACCCTCCCGGCCTCCCCACATCAGTGATCTTTTAGGGTATGTTTAGGAGTTTGGAGGGAAGGAGAGGAGAAGGTTTTGGAGGTATGTTGTTGGAGGGGAAAGAGAGGGGAAGGTGAGAAAGCCCTTTTTGTATTTGGGAGTAATAAAATTGGAAAAAGAGTGTTTTTGAAGGAATTATAATTAAAATCACTTTGAGATATGATGAATTCAAATCATTGAATTGATATTCATTTCTAATTTACACTACAAGAAAACTAACTTTTAGCTACGAAATTTAGTGACGGGTAGGAAAATCCCGTCATTAATGATACATTTGTAGACCTTTTGTGAGGGGACAAAATTCTCTAACTAAAAAGATTACTTTTAATGAGAAATCCTTACTTTTACCCTCATTATCGATAATAGAAATTTTGAAACCCCTCATTATTATGTAATTCATTGTCGGTGCCTCTTCTCTCTAACACTGCGAAACTAATAATCGTAACACTCTGGTAGATCCGTCGATCTGCTTAACCCGAGCTAGCCCTAGTATTCTTTCCAGCCGACTAAAACAACCTCGCAGTCTCCAGTTTTCACCTCGTAGTCGTCTTTCCACCCTACTTCTATTCGGCATGAAGCGGCCATCGTTGGCATGCGGGAACCATTAGCCATAGTTCTCTTTTGGATTCTAACCATCTCTGCAATTACAATATGGATTCGCTCAGTCGGTTCGTGGATTCTTATTGGATTTGTCGGTTCTCAGATTCTTATTGGATTCGCCGCTTCTCGGATTCTTATTGGATTCGTTTGTTCTCGGATTCTTCTTGTATTTTCCGGTTCTCTGGTTTGCCGGTTCTCAGATTCTTCTTCGGCCTAACCAGTCAATTACCAGGTATTATTACTTTGTTTTTATTGATTTTACACTTCTCTGATGCATAAGATGTTTTCAGTTTGATTTCGATTCTGAAATTAGTTCCTTAATGGCTACATTTACTGATGTTGATTTCTGAGTTTTGAATTTGGTTTAGTTTTTATCATTTTATTTATTTGACCAATTATGACTCTGAGATTGAAGTTGAAATTGATTTACACTTTTAGTATGATATGAAGTTTATGTATGTTTTGAAACTAGTTTTTAATGTTATGTTCCTCAGCTTATTTCTCCCATCTATATGGGATTCACTGCAATGCTCCATAAGCTTGTACAAAGCATTAAAATGAAACCAGAAATGTGGATACATCTTACCTCTCATTCTCTGTTGGTATGTGGTTATATTTAGATGTGGTTTATCATTAAAATTAAGTAACTAAAAGTTGGATCATTGATCATGTTTAATATGCTCTGAAGTGGCTAATGATATACTACGTATATCGGGTCGCTGCAGTCATTATTAATTACTGTCAAACACATTCTATGTCCTGGAATTACTTCTACTTGTGACTAAAAATTGATTAATGGTAACACCAAGGGACCTTAATAGTGACATAAATTATTTTGGAGTTGGCATATTTTTACGGTTGTCTTTGCTATTATAATGTTGAAGAAAGTTTCCAAAAATGGTGGCTGCAAGGGCTGCTGGGAATGATTTACAGGGAAGTTTGCACCCCTTTTCAGTGGTTGTATAGACTTTTGGTAAGAATTAATTTTGGACCTAAATGTTCTATAGTGTGAACTTCAGTGGTTCTTTTGCCTCTTTTCCCTTTCAATCTGTTGGTTTTTTTGCATTATAGACATACAACTCATAATATAGTTCAGGTAATTCTTTTCTTAAACGTATTCATCTGACTAAGTAAATAAGCCGTAGTCAATAGCATAGAGACATTTATTTCTGGTTATAAGAAAATTGTTGATTTGCTGGTTGTTTGAAATAGGCTTATCTGGTTTTCTTTCTTAAGACACTCATCTCAAACACGAGCAGTAACTGTGGAAAAGGAGAAGAGACAATCTATCACCGCCGATAATTACTCTGGCTGCGACCAACCATGAGTGTGAACAGATGGTAAGTATTAACAATCACCAGTGCGTTTTCTTCATTTCTTCGCACTCCTCCCTGAGATCTATGTTTTAGATGGGGTAAATATTCTGCGATTCACATATGGCTATTGTAACACCGTCCCCAAATGTACTTATCTTTAAGCGAATAATTTATTGAACCCTATGAAATTTTTAGTGAATTTACGAGGTTGTGAATTTGTCTTATTTTTTTTTGCGTGAACAGTAAAATGCACGTGGGGCCCACATCGGGAGTGGGGACCGCCCAATATTATCGGGACCACATATTATATTCGTCTGGGCCTAGAAAATATTTATAGATGGTGGATACTTCATTTGGGCCATGGAAAGGCACAGGGTTGACCGACCGGTCAATAGAGGCCCAAATACCGGTATCGATAAAGTTATCAGATAAAAGCCCGAAATTGGATTTTGGAGACTTATAAATTTAAAATTGGGGAATGCATATTCATTCTAAATGGTATAATGATTAAGAACACGTAATATATTTATTTAACCCGATAAAATAAAACAGATCTAAAAACAGTCCGGAAAATACAACTTTCGGGGCAAATTGTACACTTTGGGACAAATTAGGATGACCTCCCACAAGGGTGGGGGCCACACCACGAATTTGTCAACCCTTGAGGGCTGGATGAGTGCCAAGTTGGCTGAACAACAATTGAGAGGATGGGGGAGACACCCTTGACATGTAGTAGACCCCCTCCCTTCACTCATTTGTCTAAATGAGACAAAAACCACCCCTCTCACCTCACCATCTCCACCCACACGATTCAGCACCCTAAGATAGCAAGGAGGGGCTCTGAAACTTCTCATTTTCACACCCAAATTCGAGCTCAAGATAGAGGATCCAAAGAGGAGTGCTTGGAGAAGGAAAAAGGTGTAGGAAAGTGTGGAAAATTGAGGTAATCACCTTGCCATAGCTTTCCCTTTATTTTTCTTCTACCATGAGGCATATTTATTATATGTAGAACCCTTGGGATGGTTCTCCATGCTATAAGTATGGATTTATGGGTTGGGAAGTGGTTCTATGTCCAAAAACGGACTTAGAAGCCAAATCGACCGGTTTGCCGGAAAATAACCTTTTATAGGTTATTTGTGTTGATATGGGTTTTGTGATGATAAAACCTTGTTAGGAACTTGATTTAAAGTATTTTTGAGCTTTGCCGGAGTTTCGTCGGAGTTGGTCAAAGTTCGCCGGAGTTGGTCAAAGTTCGCCGGAGTTGGTCAAAGTTCGCCGGAGTTGGTCAAAGTTCAATCGAGGAACGTAGAACGCGCTTAAGCTTAATTAAGGTGAGGATGACCGACTATGTTACTTATAATCTTTGGGTTAATTTCATGGGATTTCCTAAGTGAATACAAATGTGATGTGCATGGGTTGTTAATGGTTAATAATGCCTAAATAAAACTACTATTGATTTTAAGTATAGTATGCATGATACACAAATTTATGAATAAATTGTGTATGTTTAGATGTTATGAATATGTGTGTATGATGG